TACCATAGATTAGGTGGCTTAAACAGCAAACATTTATTTCTCACAATTCTGAGGGCTGAGAAATCTATGATCGAGGTGCAGGATGGTGTGGTTCCTGGTGAGAATTCACTTCTTGGATCATTGATGGCTACCTTCTTGCTATGCCCTCATATGGCAGAGAGAAAGATCATCTCTCTTCTATCTGTTCTCATAAGGGCACTAATCTCACTCAAGAGCTCCACCCTTATGACCTGATTACCTTCTAAAGACCTCACCCCTATATACCATCACATTCAGAGTTAGAGCTTCAACATATGAGTTTTGGGGAGACACAAACATTCAGTCCATAGAAGGTTGGTTATCTCACTGGGTGACACCACTGAGGCCAACATCTTAAGAGTACCTAATTCATGTAGGAGCAAGCTCTGCAACACATTCTGTATTGTGTGTGATAGTGTGAAAAGTGGTTAAATAGGTGTCAGGAGACGAGTTCTAATTCTGGCTCTCCCACTATTATGTTCAGTGACCTTCAGTAATTTGTTGATTTCTCTGGGAATTTTATCTCCTTGTTTCTAAAATGACTAAATAATTGCTGAGCTTTCTTCAGCCCCAAAATTGCATGATTTTATGATTCCAAACCTTAGCCAACCATCTAAAAATGCATTCTCTGGATGATGAAAAGTATTGACGAGGTTTACATGGAAAAGCCAAATTTCTTGGTAGAAAGAATTACTCTAAGCACAAGATTAATTTGCTTTTTACTCTTTTATTAGGTAGGATATTCTAGTAGTTCTTTTAAGGAACCATTCAATCCACTGGTCATGGAATATGCTTCCTGTAGTGGATTGAATGGTGGCTTCTCAAAAGATATGACCACGTCCTAATCCCTGGAACCTGTAAACGCAACCTTATTTAGAAAAGGAGTCTTACAGGTGTAGCTAGGATGTCAAGATTGAGATCATCCTGGATCATCCAGGTGGGCCCTAAGTCCAATGACAAGTGTTCTTATAAGAGATGCTCAGAGGTGAAGGCCACATGGAGACAGAGTCAGAGGTTAGAGTAATGCAGCCACAGGGAATGCTGACAGCCAGCAGAAGCTGGGGGAGGCAAGGAAAGATTTTCTAGGGAGGAAGCACAGCCCTACAGACAATTTGATCTTAAATTTCTGGTCTTTAGAGCTGTGAGAGATTAAATCACTATTGCTTTAAGCAGCCAAGTTTGTGGTAATTGGTTATGGCATCTCTAGAAAACTAAACTTCTGATGAGTAAATTTAAAAAGATGGACATCACTAATCAAGAACTCCAGTATCTTCTTCTCTATTAACATCATAAAACACTTGACATAGAACATTAATAATATTATTAAATAGCAATCTTAGATCTCTTTTGAAATAAACATTTTTTTTTTTTGCCTGCATCATAGCTGTCTGTAAATACCACCTCCTGAATGAACCTCTATTTTCTCAAGACTGGATGGTAGAAGGAACACCCACTGCCAGAGAAAGGAGCTTTGTTTTCATATTTCTCCTTCCCTGACTCTGTTTTGGTAACTTTGTTTCTGTACCAGATCCTCACTGTTCATTAACTTCTCCCTTTTAGGGTATTTCAGCTTCATAGAGGAATAGTAACAATAATATTAGTAACAATAATATTAGTAACAATAGTAACAATAATAATAGTAACAATAATATTCTGCTGTTTTATTACATGTTTATCAGCCGACTATTCTTTTGGCCAGATTTGTTGGTCTTATCTCAGAGCTCTGTCTCAATACATCTTTTAGTGACTGTTTTCCCACATTTCAAATTAAGAATTTGTTAATCAATTTTACTAGTTCACATTTGAAGGTGAACAGCTTATAATGTTTGTGACAATATTGGATTTCTTTATTTCTAAATGAGTGATTTTTATTATTTTTAATTAATATACTTTTATTGAAGCCATGGCTGGGTTTTCTCAGTGGATAGAGCGTCAGACTGGATACTGAAGAGTCCCGGGTTCAATTCTGGTCAAGGGAATAAGTTCAGGTTGTGGGCTCAATATCCAAGTAGAGGATATGCAGAAGGCACCCAATCAATGATTTTTCTCATCATTGATGTTTCAATCTCTCTCTCCTTCTCTCTCTTCCTCTCTGAAATCAATAAAAATATATTTAAAACAAGTATTAATTTTAAATTAAGCAGAAAACAAAATAGTTTATGATAGGCTACTGGGGAACTCACAGACCCAGATGCCAGGAGGGTTCACAGACAGAGCACCAGCTTGGGCGCCAACGCGAGTTCTGCCTCACCTCAACTGCTGACTCTGTCCGATCTCTGGATAAGTTACATCTTATAACCTACATGTTCTTCAGGCAAACATGGTGAATAAGACCTGTCTTGTCTGCATCTCAGAACTGCTATGAGGACAAATGAGAGCAAGCCCTTTAAAAAGTTCTTAAAAGAACTGTGTATACATGTATATCATCATTGTCAAGTGATTTAGGATATTTGAGCACATATACTTAACTCAAAAGCCATATTACTCAGCATTGGGATGCCACTGGGACCCCACTGGTCCTCTCCATTACCTAATTGTGCATCACGAAGCATTAAATTGCCCATGGCAATGGTCTGAACAGAAAGCCTGGTTAATTCCAGCAGTTGTGTTTGCTAAACTTGTCCTAAAACCACCTTCCATGTGACTTCAGCCTCTCTCCTGTGGGTGATCTGTCCTCTTCTCACTAAGCTTGTCGACATGGGGAGCTTGTTCTCATCTCTGGGGTCTACACTGCGCTGGCCCCAAAGCTTGGCTTCTTCCCTGAGAGTCTTCCCTAAACAGCATCCCAAGGGTTGACACCTGGAGCCTTGTATTCAGAGTCACTGTCCACCAAGGCTGCATGCATGGTTTAGGCATTGGTTAGGTACATAATCAATGAGCTTTAAAATTCAGTAAGCTTTAAAATTTCCATATACGGTAGACCCTTCAACAACACAGATGTGAACTGTGCAAGCCCACTTTTTTTTTCTTTTCAATAAATATTGTAAATGTATTTTCTCTTATGATTTTCTTAACATTTCCTTTTCTATAACTTACTTTATTGTAAGAATATATATACAAAATATGTGTTAATCACTATTTATGTTACCAATAAGGGTCTTAGTCAACAGTACTCTATTAGTAAATTTTTAAAGAGTCAATAGTTATACTTGAATTTTCAGCTGCATGGAGGTTGGCCCCCCCAGCCCCCACATTGGTGAAGGGTCAGCTGTAATTCCATTTTTTGCATATACTCACTGCCTATCATCAGAAGAAAACAGCTTTGTGATATGATGCGGCATTTAACGGGGTTCTGACAGCGTTAGGAAGAACTCGAACGTCCCTGAAACCAGGTGTGTGATGCCAGGTGGAGTGATTTCCCATTTCCCGTTTGTTCAGAGGCCTTTCCTGGCACAGCCTCTAGCCCACGAGACTTCCTCTTCATCTTGCACGAAGGGTACAGTTTGGTTCTGATGCATGGATTCTCGAAGCCGCTGTGCGTCCCCACAATCTGTTATGCTAAATCACACCTGGTGTCTGCACAGAGAAGGCGCTGGCAAGCATCCTGGCCGCTGGGACCCAGGCCTCTGACTCTGACGCCAGAACACGGCAGTGTTGCAGAGAGCCTTCCGAGAGTCTGGCTCACCGGCACGGGAAATTAACCTGCTTGTTCTCACGTTAAATGGTTTATGAAAATTTACTGGGCGCCAAAAAGGGGAAGAAAACCCAAGTGGTTCCGCAGTGAGCCTGCCTGGCACCAGTGAAGGAATGAAGCCGCCGAGAAAGTCAACCTGAAGAGCTGGCAAGAGGAAAAGGTGTAAAACGTAATGAAAATCAAGTGTGGTGCAGCCATTGCATTGTTTTATTAGCATTTTGTTGAGGAAGACGTTTAATTATAGAAGATCCTTGTTCTTGAGCTAGGTCAGATGACACTGGGCTCTGCCACCTTTTCCACGGTACCCAAATCCAGAGGAATTGTGGTTTGCTTCAGTAGACTGCAAAGAGAAACCTTCTTCTGTGTGGCTTGGACCAAACTAAAAAGCCAGAATCTGCTGTCCTATATAATAAAGAGGTAATATGAAAATTAACCCTCACATCCTCACAAGATGGCTGCCTATGACCAGGCTGGCAGAAGAGGGGGGCAGTTGGGGCGACCAGGCCAACAGGGGGGCAGTTAGGGGCAACTAGGCCAGCAGAAGGGGGCATCTGGGGGTAACCAGGCTGGCGGGGGGAGCAGTAAGAGGTGACCAGGCCAACAGGGGGTGGGGGTGGGGGGGCGTTGAGGGCGACCAGGCTGGCAGAGGGAGCAGTAAAGGGTGACCAGGCTGGTGGGGGGGGGGGGATGGACAGGGGCAGTTAGGAGCAGCCAGGCTGGCAAAGAGGGGGCAGTTGGGGATGACCTGGCCAGCAGTTGGGGGCAGTTGGGGGCAACCGGGCTGGCGGGGAGCGGGCGCAGTTAGGGGTGACCAGGAAGGCAGGCAGGTGAGTGATTAGGAGCCAGAGGTCCAGGATTGTGAGAGGGATGTCCAGCTGCTGGATTGGGCCTAAACCGGCAGTTGGACATTCTTTGAGGGGACTCCTCCTCCCCCATGCATAAATTTCATGCACTGGGCCTCTCGTATGTACATAATACTCTGATGGCCATCATCATCCTCCATTCTTTCCCACATTATATTTTCTTTTCCTTGTTGATTTTAGAATAAAATAAAATAGGTAAAGAATACAATGCAGAAGTTCTACTTTTAAAAAATACCTGTAAATTTGCCATCTAAAAACAAAGTTTTTTTAAGTACCACTTTCTTTAAGAAATAATTAGGAAGCAAGACAAATAAGAAGCCATGAAAGACAAAAGATTAGCTCCTATAAAAACAAGTGTGTGAATATATATATATATATGCAACAAAAATAAAAATATGCAAAAAGCGAAACAACTGGCAATATTTTGCTGGGAATTTTAAAACTGCCTTTTTTTTTTTTTTTTTTTTTTTTTTTAAGCTCACCTACTTCAGAGTAGTTTGGGAGTTTAATGATCCAGTTCAGTGTATGCAAGAAATCTTTCCTTATGGTCTATTTCTGCCATCACAGAGCTTACTCTGTTATCTGATTTCTTCCTTCAGGGCTGCCAGGAAGGCTGATCAGCATTGAGGAATGCAAAGAATTCTGTTTGGGACCTAGCCGGTTTGGCTCAATGGATAGAGCGTCGGCCTGTGGACTGAAAGGTCCCAGGATCGATTCCAGTCAAGGGCACATGCCCAGGTTGCAGGCTTGATTCCCAGTGGGGAGAGAGGGGGTGCAGGAGGCAGCCAATCAATGATTCTCTATTATCATCCAATCAATGATTTTATATCATCATTGATGTTTCTTCTTCTCCCTTTCCCTTCCTCTCTGAAATCAATAAAAAAAATTTTTTTTTTTAAGAATTCTGTGTGGGACGCTGCCCTGCCCCCAGTACAGCTTCCTCCCCAGAATGACAGAACAAGGCCTGGCCCTGCAGCCACCACAAACTCCCGTTTAACCGCAAGGCTATTTGTGCCTTAGCACTTCTCTTGTAAGCTTTTGCAGCCTCCTACTTATGGAGACAAGATTCTTTGTGTCAGCACCTTAGAGAAGTGTTGTTGAAGCAGTTGGCACACAGACAGGAACCCCGCGCACACAGCCCCTTCAGAACCTACCTGAGTGTGGCCTCGGACGGAAGGGGCCCAACTTGCCTCCAAAATTTGGTAACGGGCAGGGAAACAAATGTTTTCCTCCATAGAAATCAAGAGGCTTTGGCTTAAAAACAAAACAGACACAAAACACACACACACACACACACACACACACACACACACACACACACACCAAGACACCCAGTTCTTGATATTTACATTAAGGGGACAAATTTGGATCATTTCTAGCAATGTTCCTCAAGCCAGCTTGAGAACTAAAGAAAGTCACAGTAAAACTGCTCAGGCCAGGCCAGGTGACAGGCTGTTTTCTGAGGCGGATCTGGAACCATGGCAAGGTCGCCTCATTAAATTATGAACCGATCAGTCTTGATTTATCGTTAAAAAAGCATGAAAGGCCAGTGGACGCAGCCCTGCGTGGGTAATCCGTGGCACCCGTGGCCAACAGTAGTGCTTTCCCCCTCAGAATGAAGAAAGGTAGGTTCCAAGACCTTTGATGACACTGTTCCCTTTCGTGCTTGTTTATTTTTATATTCCCACGCAGACTGCAACTCAGCAGGGGGCTTTTAAACCAAAACAGTTAATTACCTCCTCTAACCCAGAGAAGTTGCACAACACAATATAGCTGGTTGCAAGGGAGAGGGCAGCTTTTCTTGGGGGCTGTGCTTTGCACCAGTGAGAAGGGTGGGCCGGGGGAGACCAGTTAGAAGGCCCACATTTGGGGGGCGGGAGGGGGGGTGCCAGCATGTACTTGCATGTCTTCTTCATTGCCCTACACTTCGAATCCCCAGACACAGACACCCCTGTGCAAACACCTGTTCCAAAGACAAAGCTGAGTAGCTTTGGGACTAGAGCCCTCTCCTGATAAGAGTGCATGCTTCGCACTCCAGGGATGCCCAGGGTTAGGGCAACTTCAAGCAACAAGGACCTGCTCCACTTAGTGCTCAAGGCACTGCAAGGGGCAGACCTTCCAATAAAAAAGGCACTTTCTCAACTGAACTTCAGCGCTTGGCCCACCTCTCCCGTCACTCCTTCCTTCCCCAACCGAACAGGGCCTAAGCCCTTTGTTCCTAAATTGTGGGCTCACCCTTGCCTGCTTTGGAATCTCCCACCTTTCAGTCCATTTCCTGGCACCAGCACCTTTCCCGGCTAACCTCATATGTCCTGACCATCTGCCATTGCATTCACTCACTCTTCCTGCCTCAGCTCTGTGCCCATTTCTGGCTCCCCCCGCCCCCCTCTGGGTCCTACCCCTTCTCTGTACCTATTGAAATCTTCAACTCCTCTGCCCCCCCGCCCCCCCCCCCCCCCCCCCCCCCCCCGCATCTTGGCCTGAAGTGCTCCCTCCCACTTCTAATCCCCGGCTCCTATTGTCTGTCCCATTGGCTAGACCTGTCATTTCACTTCCGATTCTGTGGGCCTTTCATCGCCACAACTAGATGGCACATTCTTCTATTGATCTATACGGCAATATAAAGTGATCTGGATATCTTTCCCTACCACTTCCTGTCCCCGGCCCCAGCACCTGTATAGTGATGATTCTGAATTTGATTGATTCCTCTCTTACTGGTTAACATTTTTAAATGCACCAGTTCAGGGACATCAGGCAGAATCTGGGGATGGTGTTCAGGAAATTTCCTTTTCAGAAACACAATCGTAAGAGAAAAGAACAAATCCTGTCAGTTATTTAAATGTTTCCAAGAATCTGATGTTTGGCCTTAAGTACTTAAAACACCTACTGAGTGATCCTATGAATCCTGCCCAGCAGGTGGACAGACGTGCTGGTAGGCCCTCTGAGAGAGCACATCACAGCACCCATTTCCTCGTCAGCGAGTGACCCACAGGAACAAATCTGCTCCTTGTGCCTCCGCTGCCCTGCCAGAGAACAAAAACTATAACATTGTCCCACTGAGGCTGTGAGAACAAGCAATGCATGAGAACAAAGAAAATAGTACAAGTGAGAAGAGCCATGAACCTGCAAAATCCAGAGCTCCACAGACAAATCTGAGCATGGTGGTTATTACCGGCAATGAAAAAAATCCACACAGCTGGCCAGTGTGTCTCAGTGGTTAAGCATTGACCTCTGAACCAGGAGGTCACGGTTTGAATCCCTGTCAGGGCGCATGCCCAGATTGCAGGGCACAGGGGATCATGCGGGAGGCAGCCGATCAATGATTCTCTCTCATCATTGATGTTTCTACTCTCTCTCCCTCACCCTTCTTCTCTGAAATGAATAAAAATGTATTTTAAGAGAAAAGAAAAAGTCACCACAAGCCTTTACTTTTTTAAAAGTTGCATGCAAAGTGTACCTCAAAGCTGCACTACTACATCATAAAGTTAACAAGAAACGTGAAAGGTATAGGCAGCTGTGCCATGAGGAGCATCTTCCCAGCCCCGTGAACTTGGATTTGAGGCCCCTCAGATGCCTGGCAAAGTTCTCACAAAAACCGAAGGCCTATCACAGGCAGCTGAGGACAATCCATCAGGAGCAGGTAGGGGAAGGGCAAAAGAAAAGAGATGGAGAGTGGGGAAGGGGAATGGATAGGGCTATGGCAGCAAGAAATCCAAACTCAAGGACTGGGCAAACCCGAGTGAAGAAGCTGAAAGTAAGCCCCTTCTTTCCACTTGGGTTTTCTCTTCCCAGAGAATTTCCATTTCATTTTGTTGAATGATAAAGACTGAAAACACAAAATAAAAACATCATAAGCCTCCCTATCTCACAACATATTCAAAAATAAACACTCAGAATATACATGGGCCTACATGCTAGAGTGGAAATAGAGCACTTAAACAAAAACATAGCTGTCCATCTTTGTGACCTTGGGTTAGGCAGTGGTCTCAAACAGCGGTAACGAAAGTGTGAGAGGCACCTCTCACCGACACCAGAGAGGTGTTACTGGACAGCTCCCTGAGTCCGCGGAGAGGGCTGTTCCCAACCTTGAGCCTCTCTCCTCATATAAATGAATTTATACCAGAAACCTTGGCTGAGTTGTGAAAAGCCAACTTATTAAGGCAATTAAAGCGTGCACCTTTATTGAAAAGGCAAATCTATACATCTTCCGCTAATCTGAAGAGTGAGTTGGGTGGGGGTCCGAGGCATTATATACCCTCCTGTCTGTAGGCTTCAAAATTTGCTTGCTGAATATTTTGGTACAGATTAATTCTTCTGGTCCCTTCTTGTTACTTTGTTGTGGCCTTCCCAGAATTCATGAGAAGAACCTGGCAATTGGATCTTGCCAAGCCTTGAGACTACTGCTTTTCTCTTTAAAGAGTAAAACTGCCTTTTCCCCCTTTTCTTTGTTTCTGTCTTTCTTTGTTTCTTCCTTCCTTCCTTCCTTCCTTCCTTCCTTCCTTCCTTCCTTCCTTCCTTCCTTTCTTCCTTTCTCCTTTCCCCTTCCCTTTCTGCATTCTCTCCTTAGGGAGGTGTGTGTGTGTTTTTATACCATTGGCTGGGGAAGATAATGGCTTATTAGTTACAAGATGGCTGCAAATTGCCCACACTGTTTTAAACTTTCCTGCCTCAGTTTCCCTATTCCTTTTGTCTTGGAATCCTGTAATGAAAGCACAAACAACAAAAGAAAGCAATAGATAAATTGGACTTTAGTGAAACTATAACTTTAGTGCTTCATAGACCACCATCAGGAAAGTGAAATAACAACCTACAGAAGGGGAGGAAATATTTGAGAATCATATATTTGATATCCAGAATATATAAAAGGCACTCACAACTCAACAAAAACAAACAACCCATTTTTTTTTAATGGGCAAAGGACTAGAATAGACATTTCTTCAAAGAATGTGGACAGCATCATCAGTCATTAGAGAAGGGCAAATCAAAATCACAATAAAATACATGTCACACCCACTGGGATGGCTGTTATCTTTGATAACAAGTAAATAAAATAGAAAATAACAGGGGTTATTAAGGATGTGAAGAAATTGGAAAACTGGTACATTGCTGATGGAAATTATGCAACGAAATTGTGGAAAACAGTATGGCAATTTCTCAAAAAAGTTGAACATGGAATTACTATATGGCTCAACAATTCTACTCCTAGATATATTTCCAAAGAATTAAAAACAGAGATTCCAAAAGCCACTTGAATGCTGCATATAAGCATTATTCATAATAATTGAAAGGTAGAAACAACCCAAATGTCCATTAATGGATGAATGGGTTTTTAAAAATGTACATATATATTGGCTGAGTTGTGTGTGTGTGAGTGTATATACATACACTAGAGGCCTGGTGCATGAAATTCATGCATGGTGGGAGGGTTGTCCCTCAGCCCGGCCTGCACCCTCTCCAATCTGGGACATCCCTCTCACAATCCAAGACTGCTGGCTCCCAACTGCACACCTGGCTGCCTTCCTGATTGCCTCTAGGCTTCTGCCTGCCAGCCTGATCATATCCTAACCACTCCCCTGCCAGCCTGATTGATGCCTAATTGCTCCTCTGCCAGCCTGGTCACCTCCTAATTGCCCTCCCCTGTTGGCCATCTTGTGTCTACATGGGGGCAACCAGCTTTGACCACATGGGGGCTGCTATCTTGTGTGTTGGAGTGACAGTCAATTTGCATATTATTCTTTCATTAGATAGGATTAGATAGAGTAGGGGCCTTGATGCATGGGTGGGGGCTGGCTGGTTTGCCTTGAAGGGTGTCCTGGATCAGGAAGGGTTCCCTTGGGACATGGGGTGGCCTGGGTGAGGGGCTTATGGTGGTTTGAAGGCTGGCCACACCCCACAGTGGCCCAAGTGGAGGCCCTGGTATCTGAGATTTATTTATATTCTACAATTGAAACTTTGTGGCCTTGAGTAGAGGCCAAGGCAGGTCAGGGCAGGAGAAAAGCTTGGCTTCCTCCATTGCCAGGGGCAACTCAAGCCTCCTGCTCTCTCTGTGGCCACAGCCAGCTTGGTTGGGTTAATTTTCATACTTGCTCCTGATTGGCTGGCGGGCATGGCTTGTGGGTGTGGTGGAAGTACAGTCAATTTGCATATTACTCTTATTAAATAGGATTATTAACCATAACAAGGAATAAAATTTGGATACATGCTACAACATAAATGGACCTTAAAATACTATGATACTAAGTGGAAAAAGACAAAACAAATATTGTATGATTTTACTTATATGAAATAACTGGAATAAATACATAGATACAGAAAGTAGATTAGAGGCTACCAGAGCTAGGGGTTAAGAAGAAATGAGGAATTTTTGCAAAAATGGTTATAGAATTTTGGTTTGGGGTGATAAAAAAACTTTTGAAATTAAATAATGGTGATTGTTGCATCACTCTGTGAATGTAATTAAGACCCCTAAGGTACACTCAAAATTGTTACAGTGGAAAATGATATATGTATTTAATCATAGTGTTTTTTACATAGTCATTTTTCCAAAGAAGATATATAAAAATGACACATGAAAAGAGACTAAACATCATTAGTCATCAGGGAAATAAAAACCAGAGTGAGCATAGTGAGAGACACTTCACACCCACGAGGATGGCTATCGTCAAAAAGATCGTAACAAATGTTGGTGAGCTGTAGAGCTCATCCATCAATTCATTTAATTTTTTTTAAATTACAGTTGATATTCAATACCATTTTATATTTCTTCCAAGTGTATTAATTTACTTTTTAAGTTTGTTTCATATTAAGTTGTGAAAGAAGCAGTACACTTCTCCTTAAATACATTGTGTGCTTATCATTAACTTTTGTTCACCATTCTCTTTGTCTTTTGAGGTAAAATTTATATACAATGAAATGCTCAAACTTTAAGTATGTATTCTATGAAATTTTTCAAAAGTATAGGCCTGTTTAATAAGTTAAAGCCATTATTTTAATGTCTTTTAAAAACATTTTAATTGCTCATAAACCTTAAAAATAATTTTTATAGATTTATTATATTTTAGTTGTTTTTTTAATAGAAATTTTTCTTTTTTCATTAAATATCTGAGGGACAAAAATGGCAATTACATATTATGAGCCATCCATTTATATACATCCTGTGCCTTCTTAGTTTTTTAATGAAAACTGATTGGGCATTTTACTATAAACTTATATATTAATGTATCTTTCATAATAAACACATCAGAAACTTTGCTCTATCAAAATCTATGTTTTTAAAGTAATCGTGTAATATTACATGGAATGCAATAATTTGTGAGATGCATTAAGTGCATTTTTCACCTGTTTTTTTGTTTTGTTTTGCTTTGTTTTTATTGATTATGGTCTCACATAATTGTCCTTATTCCCCGATTCCCATCCCAAACCCCTCCCTAGATATGCCCTCCCCAACCCCCGTTGTCCATGGCCACTGGCTAGGCCCATATGTATGCACACAACTCCTTTGGTTGATCTCTTCCCCTTACCCCCATCCTCTCTTACTTTCCCTCTGAGGTTGGAGAGTCTGATCACTGGTTCTCTTTCTCTGTGTCTGTTTGTGTTGTTCATTATTTCCTCTAGATGTGTGAGATCATGTGGTCCAAGAAATACCCTTGTAAGAATCTAAACTGCAACAAGCCATAATGGTTATGCTGAGAGACAAATGAATCAGTCTGTGAGTTCCTTTCTGGGCCAACAGTTCTTTTGAGTCCCAATTTCAATGCCAGATAGTTCCTTATGTGTACATGTCAGCCATGATATTTCAGATCTGGTTGGTGGACAAATGGTGATAATTCAGGTCCGCCCGTCTCTGATTTGGTCCTGGACATCCTTCAGCACCCGCAGCTGCTGTCTGCTGGTATGCTGTGGCATCGTCAGCATCTTCCATCTCTGAATTGTGTCTCTTCTGTCTTCATGGCTGGAGCGCTTCTGTGTATTCCTCTCTGTTACAGGATTCCAGATGGTCTCGGAGTTGTTTTCTGAAAATATACAAACATATTCTTGACCAAAAGTTAATCAAGGGATATTTTCTTTAAATTTGATTTGGGATTCTTTTCCATTTCCCCCCCCCAAATGATTTTCCCCTGGCTTGTTTTGTCACCATGTGTGTATTTTCATGGGTATCTTGCTATTAGTGTTTCGAATGAAGATTAATTTTCTAAAGCACAAATTTTTTAGATGTAAATTATTCTCAGGATATTTTTC